GAAGCACAAAATGTTTAAATTTTGGTAAAATCCAATTATCTATTTTTTTAATTGTTTTAAATTTTTTTAAGGTTTATCATTTTTCAGAGACAGAGCGTGAAGGGGTGGAGGGTCAGAGAGAGAGAGAGAGAGAGAGAGAGAGAGAATCTGAAGCAGGTTCCAGGCTCTGAGTTGTCAGCAGAGAGCCCAACATGGAACTCAAACTCACAGACCATGAGATCATGACCTGAGAAGTCTGAAGTCAGACACTCAACCAACTGAGCCACCCAGGTGCCCCAAATTTATCTATTTTTTCTGGACTCAAAATTCTGTTTCTTTGATAGGAAAATCCTTATGTCAGTAGCACATTTGGTTGAGTGCTTGTAGCTTTGTAGTAAACTTTAGAATCCGGGCATGTAAGTCCTCTAACTTTGTTCTTTCAAGGTTGGTTGGACTATTCTGGGTCCCTTGGATTTCCATATAAATATTAGCAACAGCTTGTCAATTTCTACAAAAAAAAGGTCAGCTAGGATTTTAACAGGGATTGAGCTGAATCTATAGATCAGTTTGCTGGCAGCATTCCATCTTTATATTAAATCTTCTGATTTAATGTACAAATGTCTTTCCCTTTATTTAAGGCTTTTTAGATTTCCTTCAATATTGTTTGGTAGTTTTCAGCATAAAACCCTTGTATTTCTTTTGTTACAGTTATTCCTAAGTATTTTGGGGGGCTGCTATTATAAACAGAGCTTGCTTTCTTAATTTCATTTTTGGATTGTTGTAGAAATACAACTTTATTTTGTATATTGATCTTGTATCTTGCAACTTGGCTAAATTTGTTTGTTGTAATAGTTTTTTTCTGTGGAGTTTTTTGTGGCTTTTAGAATGTTCTCTCTACAAGATCATGCTAGGTACAAATAAAGATAGTTTTACTTTCTCTTTCCAAGCTGAACGACTGACTTTTTCTGCCCAGTGTTCCTGGCTAACACTTGCAGTACAGTGTTGAATAGAAATGATCAGAGTAGACATCTCATCTTGTTGAAAGCTTTCAGTCTTCCACCATTAACTATGTTAGCTGTGGGGATTTTGTAGATGCCCTTTATCGGAATGAGGAAACTCCCATCTCTTCCTAGTTTGTTGAGTGTTTTATCATGAAAAGGGCTTGGATTTTGTCAGATGCTTTTTTTTCTTTGCCTCAGTGGCCATGATTGTGCAGTTTTTTCCCCTTTATTCTATTAACGTGGTATACTGAATTGGTTGGAGTTCCTATTTGAACCAAGCCTGCATTCCTGGGATAAATCCCACTTCATCATAGTGCATAATCCTTTTTATACATTTGCTTGATTCGGTTTGCCAGCATTTTGTTAGTGTTTTGCATCTGTATTCATAAGGATATTGGCCTGTTTCTTTTTTCTTCATGTCTGGCTTTGTTACCAGGATAATACTGACTTCATAGAACAAATTGAGAACTGTTTCCTTCTCTTCTACCTTTTGGAAGAATTATGAAGGATTCATGCTAATTCTTTTTTAAGCATTTGGTAGGCATCGTGAACCCATCTGGGTCTGGCCGTACTTAAAGGCCGTAAACTTATAAGGTATTTTGTTGTGGTGGGTTACTATGTCAATTTCTTGTCATAAATCTTCTTGAATTGTTTTCTTTCTTTCTCTTCTTTCTTTCTTTCTTTCTTTCTTTCTTTCTTTCTTTCGTTCGTTCGTTCGTTCGTTCGTTCGTCCGTCCTTCCTTCCTTCCTTCCTTCCTTCCTTCCTTCCTTCCTTCTTTTTTCATTTTGAGCCAGCTTTGCTGTTTCTGCCTTTGTAGGATTTTGTCTGTTTCAGGTACCTAGGCCGTGTAATTTGTTGGTACACTATTGTTCATAATTTTCCTTTAATAATTCCATTTATTTCCGTGAGGCTCATAGCAATCACCTTCTTTCATTCCTAATTTTAGTAATTTGAGTCTTTTTTTTTCTTTCTATAGTCAGTCTAGTTAACAGTTTGTCAATTTCATTGATCTTTTTAAAGAACCAAGTTTTAATTTTATTGATTCTCTTTTTTTCAAGTTTTTACTTATTTCCACTTTAATCTTGATTACTTCCTTTCTTCTGCTTTCTTTAGACTTAATTTGCTCTTCTTTTTTTGTTGTTGTTTCTTTTTTTTAATGCTTATTTATTTTGAGAGGGAGAGAAAAAACATGAGTAGATAGGGGCAGAGAGAGGGAGGGAGAGAGAGACAATCCCAAGCAGGCTTTGTACTGTCAGCACAGAGCCCAGCATGGGGCTCGAACCCATGAACCGTGAGATCATGACCTGAGCCAAAATCAAGAGCCAGATGCTTAACTGACTGAGCCATCCAGGTGCCCCTCTTTTTTTGTTTTTTATATAGGAAGTTTAGGTCACTGATTTAAGATCTTTCCTCTTTTTTTAACATGCTCATTTATAGCTATCAATTTCTAAGCACTGCTTTTCCTATATCACATAAGTTTTGTTATGTTGTAGTTTCATTTTCATTCATTTTAAAGAATTTTCTGACTTCCTTTTCATTTGTTGACCTGTTGGTTTTTTAGGAGCGTGTTGTTTAATTTCTACATATTTGTGAACTTCCAGTTTTCCTGCTGTTGTCAATTTCTAATTTCCTTCCATTGTGGAGTGGTTACAGAACAGTCTAGTTTAGGGGTGCCTGGCAGGCTCAGTCAGTAGAGCATGCGACTCTTGATCTTGGGGTGGTGAGTTCGAGCCCCACATTGGCTGTAGAAATTACCAAAATGAATAAATAGATAAATAAAGTTTAAAATAATAATAACAAAATAGGGGCACCTGGGTGGCTCAGTTGGTTGAGCATCCAACTTTGGCTCAGGTCATGATCTCATGGTTCATGAGTTCGAGCCCCACGTCGGGTTCTGTGCTGACAGCTCAGAGCCTGGAGTCTGCTTTGGATTCTGTGTCTCCCCCTCTCTCTGCCCCTCCCCCACTCACACTCTGTCTCTCAGAAATGAATAAACACTAAAATTTTTTTAAATAATAATAAAATAATAATAAAAATATAAAGTATTTGTTTAGTAAATCCAGTGTCTGGAATTCCTCAGAGACGGTTTCTATGGACTGATTTTTTTTTTCCTGTGTATGGGGCATTCTTTCTTGTTTCTTTTCATGTCTCATAATTTCTTGTTGTTGAAAGCTGGGCATTTAAAATAATAATTTGACAGTGCTAAACATCAGATTCTTCTCCCTTTTTGGGCTGCTTGTTGCCGCTGTTTATTGATGTTTGTTTAGTGACTTTTCTCAGCTAATTCTGTAAAATCTATATGTAGGTTATTGTGTGTAGCTCCTGAGGTAGCTGCTAGATTCTTAGAAGATCATCTAATGATTGCACCAAGATTTCCCTAGATGCCTTGATCAAAATAAATCTTCCAGGCTTTGCTGATAAGTTCTGTGTGTGTTCGGAGGCACACCTTCAACACTGAGGCAGGCCATTTACAAATGTACCTTAGTCTCTACTTCCTTGCTTGCTCAGAGCCTCACCACAGGCAGAAGTGACAGCTTAGGACATTCTCAAATCTTCACCAAGCATGTGAGTAACCATGGGCATGTGGTTATGGGCTTTAGATACCAAGATATATAGGAGCTTTTCAAAGCCCTCTATACGCATCCCATTCCCCAGTTTGTTCTTTTAAGCTGTTTGGTCAGCTTATTGTCTGTCTCAGCTGTTATCCACCACCTTGGACGGTGTGATATTTAACAGTTGCCTCTGATTGTTTTCAACAAATGCCTGCAAGGAAAAGGCTATTCACACTGGCTGAGCTCTGATACAGGAATAATAAAGACAGCCTTGAAAGTGGGCTCTTCCAGGAAACCACCAGACAGGTCAGATGATGCCAGCTCTCCGGGAAGGGACTTGGAAGGAGCTCCAGCCTTGTCCTGTCCCCCACAGTGGATGCCGGGATGCTGGTTCTCAAGGCCACTCCGGAGCTGGTGGGAGGGAATGGAAATAGGGCAAGTTAAAATCCACAAAGGTCACTGTTCTCACTGATATTCTGCCAGTTTTCTTAAGTGAATCTACCTGGATTACTACAAGCCTCTGGTTAATTTCCAGAGTTCTGAAAAAGGTTGGGTCTGACCATTTTTGCCAATGTTCTCATTGCTGTTAGGAGAGACGCCTCAGAAGTCTGTCCTCCACTATTTCACTGGCATTGCCAACAAACTAATTTTGAGCCTCTGTGTGCACACCATACTCAGTGGCTAATTAAGGACCCCAGGCTTGCACACAGTGGCTTTTTGAAGCCACTTTTCCATGGTTGAATTGCTTTTGGATTCGGTTGATAGGGGCCAATGAGGTCGTACCTGCCAGCTGGGACACTCACACTTTGGTCTTGCATCTGCAGCGAGCTGAGTATATGATCTTGGAACAAAGGAGCTGAGATTTTCAAAGTACCTACTATGTGCCGCAGTGTGTGCTCGGTGTTTTATGTACAGTATATCATGTCGTTCTTGCAACAACCAAGAAAGACAAAACGTTCCTGCTTAACAGATGCAGAAAGTACTAAAATGCAAAGTACTTACTTAGCACTATGCCTGCTCCACACAGCAAATATTCTATACCCCGATGATAGTAGTGTTTTTACTACAGCTGTTATTGTCAGAGGGGGAGGTGGGCATGATGGGATTGCTCAAGGTCCTTTGAACACCGATCCAGGTCGGTCTGATTGCACAGCCCACCCATATTCCACATCCCCACTCCAGCTCTCCTGGGCGAATCCATTCCGCTCTGGGTCTCACTTTCCTTATTCTGACACATGAAGGATTTGGACTGAGTGAAGTCATTCAGTCAACAAGCGCTTACTGGCTTGTGCATGGAGATCACCCCTTGGTGCCACTACGGAGGTGTGTACTTCTGAGTTCAAGCACTCACATTGGTAGCATTGTCTCGCTTGGTTCGAAACCCTAAGCGGACAGGTAGGCAGGCAGGTGTATAACATGACGTGTGTTTCTCTCCATCCCCCCCCCCCCGGCTCTGCCCCACTGCAGAGGCAAGAGGGGACAAAGCCAAGTGGGTGTTCACCTGGCCACTCATCTTCCTCCTGTGCGTGACCATCCCCAACTGCAGCAAGCCCCGCTGGGAGAAGTACTTCATGGTCACCTTCATCACCGCCACGTTGTGGATCGCTGTCTTCTCCTACCTGATGGTGTGGCTGGTGAGTGGGGGGAGCCCGGGGGGACCGTACGGGCAGTACCTGCCCAGCCCCTGCTGGAGGTGGGGGAGCTGGGCTCCAAGAGCGACTCAGGCACTGCTGTGCCACCTTCAGCAAGTCACCCCCTTCATAGACCTTGGCTCATTGCCCAGTAGAAAGGTTCATCAGAGGCGCACGGGGTGGTACGTGCACTGGGATGCCCAGATGGGCACCACGGGGCGCGTGTCTCCAAAGCAGGAGTTGGGGGAGGGGAGGTTGGAGAGATAAACCTTCACATCGAGATTCTGGGACATGCTGCCCGGGTGCGATGCAAAGAGTAATATGGCGGGTGTGGTGTGGCTGTTGTATCAAGATCCATGGGGGGTGGGGGGGGGAGTAGTCGCTAGGACCCCTTCCTTTCCAGGGTCCCTGGGGGAACGTGAGGGAGATAACACAAGGCAGCCCTTTCCAGAACCCCAAAAAGGATACCTGATGGGATAGATGTTTTTCTTTTGCCATTTTACAGAAGAGAAAACTCTGAGGCATCCAGATGGAGTAATTGGCCCCCTTGCACAATAACCAGCTAGGATACCATTAGTTACATAATCAGTAAGGTCTAGAGTTGGGGTGAGTACCCAGCGTTGGGCCCTGAATCCACGATCTCAGCCACTACCCTGAGCTGCCTTTCAGTTTCCTACCGGAGCTTTCAGATGTCACGTGGGCTGAAGTTTCACAGGCAGAGACGCATTGGCACAGTTCCCTGTAAGCTCCTCTGGGCCACGTGTGACAGCTCCCCTGCCCCCTCGCTCTGTGTGTCACGCTGTGGGGTCCCCCCCCACTCCATGTAGGGAGCCCGGGAGCAGGAGAGAAGCAGCGACAGGCTGCTGCGTGCCTGTGGCTGCAAAGGCTCACCTGTCAGAGCTCGCACCGAAGTGGTCAGTGGGTAGACGCCTCATTCTCTGCCTGATGCCCGGTGCCAGCTGCGGGCGCCAGTGGGTCTTGTTCTGAGTACACAGGAGCCACCTTTCCCTTAAGTCTGGTGGGGAGAAAAGGGCTGTGGAGTCACACGGAAATGAATGTGAGTCGTAGCCCTCCCACTTACAAGCCATGAACCCCCGGCAGGTGACTTAGCTCCCAGAGCCACAAGTCACCTCCTCTATGAAAGGGGGACGGTCAGTCCTGTCTCACAGGATCATTAGGAGAGTGGAAGTGTCTTTCCACATCGCGCTCTGACCGGCAGCGTGAAAGATCACTCCCAGCCGCAGAGAACTGCTGTTTGTAGTGCAACGTGCAGCCAGTGTTGCTTTGATGCTTTGTTCAGATAAAGGCTAAAATCCTCATAGACGCTCTGAGTGTGTGTGTGTGTGTGTGTGTGTGTGTGTACACGCGCACACGTGTGTGCCTGTGTGTTGGGTTGGGAGGAGTTGAAAGTAGCTACTCTCCAAACCCCCCAGAAAAGGACAAAGACCATAAAAACGATTCCTTAAGTGAATTGCACTTGTAAATTGACATTTTTCTAAACAGGATTAACACCAGCCCATCTTTCTATTCGATAAAAGGATCCAGTGGTTTGTCTTATTAAAGTGCATTTCCAAACCAGCAACTGCAAGAAAAAAAAAAAGCACTTCATGACATTTGAGTGGGTATGAGAATTAGGTGAGATCAAATTCATGAATGGGCGAAACTTTCTTCTCTACTGAAAACAGCACTATTATGAAATCAGCCAATCAGTTGGCAGCAAGGCAGGACATTTAAGCACACTCTCATTAAGTACACACCACCTTGACTTACAGACCCAACCTGAACTTCTTTTTTTTTTAATTTTTGAAAAATTTTAATGTTTATTTATTTTTGAGAGAGACAGACACAGTATGAGCAAGAGAGAGGCAGAGAGAGAGGGAGACCCAGCATCCAAAGCAGACTCCAGGCTCTGAGCTATCAGCACAGAGCCGGACAAGGGACTCAAACTCACGATCCATGAGATCATGACCTGAGCCAATGTTGGACACTCAACCAACTGAGCCACCCAGGCACCTCCCACCCCCCAAAGCTGCGCTTCTTAAAGCTGAGGTCATAGGACCCTCTGCTGGCCCACCCTTATCTGTGGTTTTGAACTTCAACGCCTCAGTTTGGAAGGAATGGAATGACTCCAACAGTAGAAATCAGGAAAGATGACAGCACCCCACATTAGCCTTCATTTCTACTGAAGCAAGATGCGCTGGCCAGAGGGGCATGTGCTTACTTCCCTTATGCCCTGACAGGTGTGCCAGGGAACAGCGAAGTCTCACCTGCCCACCCCTCCCACCTCCTCTTACATCTGTCACCCCTCCGCCTTCAGGGAACAGGGAAAATGAATCCTGAATGCCAGTGTCAAACAGGAGGGTCCTTTGAAAGGGACTGTCCTGTCCAGCCCCCATACACAGTCAGGGAGACTGAGGACCAGAGGGGAGCTCTGACTTCCACTAGGTCACAAAAGATAGCCCCAGAGTCTGGACTCAGCTCTGCTCCCCTTCCCTAAGTATCAAGTGGGCTTACAGAGCCCAAGGCTGGAGTTCAGGGCAAAGCAGCCTGGGTGGTACACGCACACATGAGACCTTCCTTCATTCTTCCACCCTTTGGCTTCTTAGCCACCCAGTTCAGCGATTTAAGAAAAAAAAAAATGGGGGCCTCCAGTAATGTCAAGATAACCCAGGCTCCTGTATTTATGATGCCTGGCATCCCTCACTGAAAACATGTCAGCCGTGACTTGGTGGTACTTATGGAGATCTCCATCATGGCCAGGGTCGACTGAACGTTGATTGATGGATCAGCAGTTCGTTTTGCCCTCCTCGGGGTCTCTTTGTGCAGAGACCAGGGCAGGCTTCTCAGTGTGCACTCTGCCCTGGACCTAGTGATCCTGAGCTGGGTGGGTGCTGTCTTTCAGGGAGCGGGGCGGGGCCTCTTCAAACCCCCCTGCAAAGATCTGTGCTGGGAGGGATGTGGTTGCCATCCCCATGCTCTGGCTACATTCCAGGGCTGAGATTTGCCCTTCATCCGGGGCTCTCTGAGCTCTGTGAATCTGATCACCCTCATTTCTCCTATAGATTGTAAGGAGAATGACTGAAAGAGAAGGGAAACATACATCTGTGAACACTTGCATAGGCCAGGCACTGTCGCCTCACATTTTGTTACTCAGTCTTTATTAACAAACCCATTTTACCGACGTGGGAACTGAGGCTCAGAGAAGCAAATCAGCTTGTCCTAAATCACACAACCATTCACTGGGATTGGAGCCTCGAGATGTGAACAATCCTAAGAGGTGCCAGTGTTCCCAGTTTTTAGATGGGGAGGCAAGCCAGAGCTGATGAGTATTTTGAATGGGGTTATTCAAATGCTTCTAGGGCTTTCCATGTGGCTGCTACTCAGGGCCCCAGCCATCTCTCAAGTGTCAGGCACTTATATCAGTGGAGTTGTGTGACTGTGCGTCAGGACCCTTCGAAGCTTACATATCCTTCCATGAGCAGTTGTGTTTCTTGGAGGTTATCCTAAAAAGGCAGTAAGAACCCAAAGCTGTACGCACAAGGTGCATGATGTTGAGGTGGGTGCATGGCCTTTAGAATTGGAAAGACCGGCCCAGCACTCCTGCTTCACTGCTCACGGGACCTCGGCCCCCAGGCAATGCTACTTAACCTCTCTGAGCCTCAGTTTCCCCCGGGGTGTGAGGTGAGCAGAACAAGAGTCCGCCCCTCCCCCCTCCCCAGTGGGTGGTGATAACAGGGTGCCTGAGATTGTGCACGTGACACACCTGGTACACATTAAGTGCTCAATAAATGTCACTTATATGCAGTGGGAAAGAGACCACCTCAGTATCCACCAGTTAGGGATGGGCTGAAACTCCATAGCCAGGCAATGAGATCTGTGCATCAGTTTAAGAGAATGTTGTAGTCGAGTACATGCTGTGGACAGGCGTTTACAGTGAATTACTACATGAGACAGGTGGCTGCAAGGTCCATGTCGATGGTGTCATTGGATTCTATTTTTTTTTCTAACACACACACCACAAAGAAAGTCAAGGATGCTTTGTAAAGCCATGGTTTTCAAGTGTGGTCCCCAGACCGGTGGCCTGAGGGTCCCAGCCACCTGGGAACTCGTTAGGAATATAAACTCTCAGCTTCACCACAGACCTCCTGAATCAGAAACTCGGCCTGGGGTCCTGCAGTCTGCATTTTAGCCAGCCCCCTCCCCCTAGAAGATTTCCCACATGCTAGAGTTTAAGAACCGCTGGCTCATGAAAAGTATTAATGGTGGTTGTCTGTGGGTCTTGAGAAATGGTAGGTGACTTCTATTCTCATTTTGCTTCATTTCCTAAGCTTTTGAAAACAGGAAATAAAATAGCAGTACTGTGTTCAAGCGAATAACACTTGGAGTGAGCAAAGATCCTGGGTGTTCTTCCATGTCCCCCGTCTTCTGCAGGTGACTATTATTGGATACACGCTTGGGATCCCGGATGTCATCATGGGTATTACTTTCCTGGCGGCAGGCACGAGTGTCCCGGACTGCATGGCCAGCTTAATCGTGGCGAGACAAGGTAGGGACTGTGCCTCGGCGCCCACGGTTGCGAGCATCGCCAGGCAGGCTCCCCGGTCCCCGCTGGAGTTCTAGTTCATGGCCCTTCTGACCCGTAGTTGTTCAGTCCTGCGGTACAGCCAGCTGCTGATAGGAAAACATGCATCAGATTCCATCTGTGGGGAGAACCCTCCCAAGATATCCAGACCTTTGAAGTATTTGCTCACGCAAACTTGGATTAAAAGGAACTTGCTCTAAAATCACCAGTGTGACATTGAACAGAGCTGAAGCCCCAACTTCTTACAGCAAATACAGTAATAAGAAACATTCAGGTCCCAGGATGGCAAAGCAGGGATATCCTGTGTCAATTTCCTATTCTTTTTTTTTTTAATTAAAAAAAAATTTTTTTAATGTCTATTTTTTGAGAGACAGAGTGTGAGCAGGGGGAGGGGCAGAGAGAGAGGGAGTCACAGATTCTAAAGCAGGCTCCAGGCTCTGAGCTGTCAGCATGGAGCTTGAGAAAGGGCTTGAACCCACAAACTGCAAGATCACAACCTGAGCCGAACTCAGACACTTAACCAGCTGAGCCACCCAGGCATCCCTAAGGTTATGTATTTATTTTAGAGACAGAGAGAGCATAGAGCGAGAAAGGGGCAGTGAGGAAGAGGGAGAGAGAGAATCCCAAGCAGGCTCCATGTGGTCAGCGCAGAGCCTGATGCAGGGCTCGATCTCCTGAACCACAAGATCATGACCTGAACTAAAATCGAGTTGGAGGCTTAACCGACTGAGCCACCCAGGTGCCTCTGTTTTCCTGTTCTTAAATTTGGGGCTCACTGTGTGACATGGGTTAACCTGTATGCTAATGCTTAATGGCAGAACAAAAGAGCTGGAAAGGGCAATAAACGAAGGCTATTTCCACTGGTGACACAGCCAACCCAGCATGGACTTTCACAGATCTTCGTCCACCGATGAGAGTGTGAAAGTACGGGGTGGGGGCAGGAGGTGGGGGTGACTAACAGAATGACACCTGACAGGGAGACAGAAGTGCCCAACGAGAAAATTGGCTCTGGAAAATCGGCAAAGGACCTTTCATGCTTCCAAGTTAGAAGAAAGGGTTGGTTGGTCCTGAGAAGACAAGAGCTGAGGGGAGAGAAGTGTGGGAATGTGGTTGGCATAGGCTGGAGGCTTGTGGAGAACAGGGACAATGGGGACAGCAGCAGCTGAGGCGAACGGGATTTGATTGAGTGAGCTCTGAGGTCATAGGGCTGTCATAACAAAAATACCACAACTGGGTGGCTTGAAACAAGAGATTGATTGTCACATAGTTCTAGAGACTTCGAAGTCCAAAATCAAGATGGCAGCCGGACTGTGCTCCCTCCAAAGGCTGGAGGGAAGGGTCTGTTCCAGGCCTTTCTCCCAACTTCTGGTGGTGGCTGAAGGCTTGAGGCTGCATCGCTACGGTCTCTACCTCCATGGGCACGTGGTGGTCTTCCCCCGGGTGTGTTTGTGTCCAGACTTCCCTCTCCTCATGAGGACACCGGTCACTGCATTAGGGCCCATCCTAATTCAGTATGACCTCATTTTCATTTGATCCTCTTTGCAAATAAGGCCTGATTCACAGGTGCCGGGCAGACGTGGGTTGCAGGGATGGGCACTGTTCAAGCCAGTACAGAGAGGAATAGGAAAGCCAGTGAGCTCCGAGGCCCTGACTGCTGTTCTGTGGCACGAAGCTGGGTGGGACTCAGTCATACCAGCTCCAGTGACACATGGATGAGAGAGGACAAGTTCACCGGCGCCGGGGTTGCTGGGTGAACAATGGGAGGTCAAGGGGGAAGAGAATGCAGTTGAAATAACTGGCCGTAGAGTCCAGGCTGGTGGGGGGAGGGGTCTTGATGCTAGAAGGTTAAGGGCTGTGGGGGTCCCAGCCAGGTCAAACAGGGGCTCTGTGGGAGCTGGGGCTAAGTGAGGTTCTGAGGGAGGACATCCTCTCAGAGTGAGCCCTGTGGGACATGGGGGCAGAGAAACTGAGGAAGGGCGAGGCGGGGGTGGAGTGTGTCATCGTAGGGGCGCTGGGTGGCTCACTCGGTTGAGTGTGTCCGACTCTTGATTTCGGTTCAGGTCATGGTCTCACGGTCATGGGATCGAGCCCTGTGGTGGGTTCCACGTTCACAGTGGGTCCTGCTTAAGATTCTCTGTCCCCCCTCTACCCCTCCCCCACTTGCACGTGCACAAGCGCACACTCTCAAAAGCAGTGACACTGCTGTCACTGACAGGATCCGACAGACACGGTTAATGGACACTTCCTTCATGACAAAGGGCACAGAAGCCTGCCCAGAGCCCACCCACCCGCACAGCGTGCTCTAACATGGAGATGCTACGTCCTCAGCCCCCTGAAGGCTCCCAGCTCCACGTGTGGCCCAGGCTGGCGGCAGCCTGACCAGGGAGCTGGCGAGAGATGCAGAGTCCCAGGCCCGCCAGACCCACTAAACCAGAACCTGCATTTCAGCGAGGCCCCCAAGTGAGTCCCATGCTCCCGAAGGTTGAGAAATGTTGCCATTAGGTTCCCCTGTACGCAGCACCTGTGCGGGGCTGGAAGGCCACCACGTCGGAGAAGCCCTCTTCCTCTCCTCTCAAACTAGGGCATCTTTTTAAAAAATTATTTATTTTTTGTTTTTGAGAGGGAGAAACAGAGCACAAGCAGGGGAGGGACAGAGAGAGAGGGAGACACAGAATCTGAAGCAGGCTCCAGGCTCTGAGCTGTCAGCCCAGAGCTTGATGTGGGGCTCGAACTCATGGACCGTGAGATCATGGCCTGAGCCGAAGTTGGATGCTCAACTGACTGAGCCACCCAGGCGCCCCTCAAACCACCCAGGCGCTCTTCAAACATAGAGCGAGTGCCTGCCTCCTCACTGGAGGCAAGTAGCTGGCCCAAAACAGCAGGGTGATTTCCCAGAGCTCCCGCCCCCAACGGCACCAAGTGACCACGACTTTCCGGTCACTCAAGTCAGTGTCAAGACAGACAGGGAGAACGTGAGGCCTCGAAGGAGGCATTGTAGCCTGGAGGTCGGTGGGGGACAGCAATAGGCAGCAGGAGGGGCACCTGGCTTACATCAGTGGGGCCGGCGGTCAGACAGGAGTGAGCCGACCCTCAGATCTTGGTCTTGGTCTGGTCTGGGTTGCTGCGAGCTTCCCGGTGACCAAGAGCAGTTGTGTGGTTGCGGCTATTTGTGTTTCAAGCGTGTTCATTGCACACACATTTGTACGTGTGCCAGGTTCTGATGCTCATGTCGAACGAAAGCTCAGAGACTGGGTTAGAACAGGCGTCAGCCGGCAGTTAGTTGCAAAAGTCTGTTTTCTCACTTTTCATGCCCCTCGGGTTATTAAGTCCTTAGGAGTATGGCCAGCATGACATTGGCCGGTTGAGCAGGAAGCAGAGGATGACGGCATGGTGCCCCAGCCTCTAAGATGCTTCTAGTCTAGTTGGGAGAAAAGAGTTCGCTCTGCAGAAGCCACCAGAGCAGAGGACCCAACAGCTTATCCTCTGAGCCTAGGTCGTGGTGCCATCACTTGGGCCACCAGTATATATCATGGCTTGGTGTGAAGGATGCTGGACCGCCACAAACTGTGTGACCTTGGGCACGTCCCAAGCCTTGGCTCCATTGTCTGCCACGTGAGGACAGTGGTCAGTGGCCTCTCCCTCCCAGGGTAACCGGGAGGATCCAGTGAGGGTGAAGCATGTAGTGGGTCCCTGGAGAATATCAGCAAACGCCAGTCATCTTGGGGGAAGCCTGTGTGGCTCAGCTAAGCATCTGCCTCTCGATCTCTGCTCAGGTCTTGATCTCAGGGTTGTGAGTTCAAGCCCCGCCTTGGGCTCCGTGCTGGGCATGAAACCTACTTAAAAAACAAACAAACAAAAACAAACAAAAAACACCAGTCATATTGGCTTAGGGTCGACCCTAATGACTCATTTTAAGTTGTTTATCTGTGTAAGACCCTATCTCTAAATAATGCTGCATTCCGAGACATTAGGGGTTAGGACTCCAACACAGGAATCTTAAGGGTCGCAACGCAGCCCATAAGAGGCCTCTAGGACTCTATGGAGTGGATTTAGACTTCATAAAAAGTGTCTGAAGTTCGGAGTTCGTGAAAAAGGAATTCCTGGACACTGATAGGGGTTTCTGGCAACCTAGTCTTAGTGAGTGACACATGTCCCTTGTCTCCTCTAGGCCTTGGTGACATGGCGGTCTCAAACACCATAGGAAGCAATGTGTTTGACATCCTAGTGGGACTCGGCATACCGTGGGGCCTGCAGACCATGGTTATTAACTGTGGGTCCACGGTAAGTTCCTCTCACTGCCTCATAAGCCAGATGGGCGCCAGACACCTGCACTTTAGGCAGAATGACAGTGGCCTTGGCTCTGTTGCAGCCAAGAGCTCCAGGGGACACGCCACCCCCTTCCCTTTGGTGCCCTGGGACCCACTTTCCTTGAAGGCCTCCAGAACAGCCTGCGGGGGGAAGCCCACGTGTGGCCCATGTGTGCTGAACACACAGCGGGCTGCCCCACCCCATGGCAGCATGCACGTCCCCCCCAGTCCTTCCCCTCACAAGCAGAGTCCATGCTTCAATCCACGGTCAGCAGACCCTCCGCTGCCATGTGCTCCCCGCAAACAGCCGCCTGTGCTTTCCAGAAAGGGAAGGAATACGCCAGGGTGCATCAGGCTCTCAGAACAGGGGCCCCAGCGGCCCAGAGATTCAGGGCACCTGCATTTTTGTTTTTCCAGGTGAAGATCAACAGCCGGGGTCTGGTCTATTCCGTGGTGTTGTTGCTGGGCTCCGTCGCTCTCACTGTGAGTCTTTATGATTCCAGAATGACACGTCATTCCATGTCATCCACAGTCACTTGCAATGTCTCTGAACGCCCTCCCTCTTCCCCTGGGCCGTGAGGCCTAAAACTGAGCAAATGCCAATTCACAGAGACCGCCAGACACAATTTGTGCCAAGAATGTTGGCACCCACCACTGCATTTTTCCCTGAGTGACCAAGAAGTCACCAGAGCCAGTGAACCACATCCCTGTCTCCCCACAGCCCAGTCTGTCTCCCCTCGCTCGTACCAATAGGAGAGAAATTCACCCCGTCCATCTGAGCTGACAAGTGGGGGGCATGGTTCGGGAACGGCACATCAGGCCTCGGGAACAGCACATCATTATACGGATGCCTTCTTACCCCACGTGCCCACACGACTGTCCCACACACTTTACCTCCACTTATGTTATTCAATCCTTACAGCCACCTGATGATACTATTCCCAATTTGCAGAAGAAATCAAGGCTCGGGGGTTAAGTGATGTGCCCAAAGTCCCAGGGATAGGAAATGGCAAAGCTGGGATTTGAACCTAGATCAGTGTGTCTCTGTAGAACACATCGTGTTGCTCTGATGGGGTAACTATGAATGTAGAATGAGGATGTGTTCCAAGCCCATCTACACACATATACACACACACGCACACACACACATAAATATAAAAAGGTGGTCCAAGCTGAAGTTTGCCAGGCCATGAGCCAAATAGATGCTCTGGAGGTTTTCCGGAAGAGGGCTGAGGAAGCCAAGTTCTGAAGCAATGAGATGACCCAGAGAAAGTCCCTCGTGGTCACTATAAAAGGTCTCGGCAGGGAGGACCTGGGTGCTGAACGTGGGTCCTGACAAAGTGGTGTGTCTGCTTGGGGAGGGCCAGCCCAGAGGGGGCAGATGCTGTGTGTCCCTGGAGCCAGCAGGCCTGGGTCAGGGCAAGGCTCGCCCTTGCATCAGACGGGTCTGAAAACCCTCAGGGGCTCAGTCTGACCAGACCCACGATGTGCCTTACAGGATTGCTCTGCCCTTGTCCTCTTTCTGGAGAAAGTTCTGGGGTTTGTAATTTGTGTATAGTGGCCCGGGTAAAATGCCTCCCTGTGTTCCTCAGCTCCCCAGGCCACTGCTTGTCCTCTGTCCCCCCAGGTCCTCGGCATCCATCTAAACAAATGGAGACTTGACCGGAAGCTGGGGGTGTGCGTGCTGGCCCTCTACGCCGTCTTCTTGTGCTTCTCGATAATGATAGAGTTCAACGTCTTCACCTTTGTCAACTTGCCCATGTGCCGAGAAGACGATTAAAACCAAGCCACTGCCCACCCCCAACGGGGGGCTGTTCTGGGCTCTCCTGACACCGGCCTCCTCCCTTCCTCCCTCCCTCTCCCACCACGAGCCTCTCCTGCCTCGGTGGCCACCGTCTGTTCCTCCACACACTGGAAGGAAGAGCCATCGTGGTCTTTGTCTGGTCACGGGCCGGGCTGCGGGGCGTCCTCCTCCCCCTCCTCAGAGTGCTGCCCCCCCACAAAGCAAGATTCGGGGGCTGCTGTGGGGGCAGCTTTGCAGACCCCGAGCTGGCAGCCACAGGGACGCACTTGTGTCTCATCTCTCTCGGACACTTTAGTGAGGACATCTGCGTGCAGTTCGTCTTCCTGTTGCACGGCAGCCTGGGAAGCGAGGTGGCTGGCGAATGTGAGGTCCCCAAGGGCAAGTGCAAAATAGGAATGTCGTTCTTCAGTGTCCCCTCCGGGCCAGAGGGGGCGAGTCCCCGAGGCGGCCTGTGCTACTCAGACCCTGCGACTTCTGCTGGAAACTCTCACAGCTGGGAAGCGGGGAGGCCTCCCCCTGCTGAGGGCTTGGGGCCTTGAGGACAAACATCCCACCCCTTTCTCTGGAAACACTAGAAGAACAGAAACTGCCTCTCGCCACAGAAAAGAGAAAAACGCGTGACGTTTCTTACAACTTTAATTGATGCATTCAGAGAATGAGCAGTAAAATATTCCCAAAAACATGTCATCTCGATCATCATACTTGAAAAAAATCTCATCCCATACAAAAAGGCCACGCTGGGGACCAAACGCAGGTAACACTCTGTGGAAAATGAATCCTACGTGTATCATGTCGCACTGCTATGAGGACTTTTGGTTTGGAATACAGAAAAGAGTAAAAGACTAACATCTACCTGGGTGCTAATTCAGAGACACAGTGGAGATAGGCGCTCACAGCCATACGTTCCAGACCCTTCCGTGTGATGCGGAACACCGTCAGTTTGGGTTTGTCATTTTTTCTGTTAATGCGCCGCTCTCAAAACTGCCCTGTTGAAAGACAGAATTGTCTATATGCCCAGCCGATTCTGGAACCTGCTGGAAGGACTGTATCACAAGTAATGTTAATGACAAGACTAGACATTTCCTGAAAAGCGCTGTCTGGTTACCTGGAGGCGTGTAGGAAAACCATAGCTAGGAATTTTTAGAGCCTTATCATTGGCTTCACGTGAAGGGCCCAGGATGGGAGGCCGAGTCAAAAATAGATAGAAAGATAATGAAACAATTTTCACCTGCTTCGTAGCTCTCAAATATATATTAAAAAAAGATTTATGAACACAAACCGTCCGTGGTTTCTAAAAAGGAAGCACAATTAATTTTATATAGAGGTGTGTTTTTTTTATTTTTGTAATGTTTCTATTGCAAAAGTCTATTGGATTTGATGCACTTTTCATATTGGGATATTTTGCACGGAAGACTGGCAACTGCCTGTGAGAGTGTGAGGACAGGTTTTTAACCATTTCACCAATAATCAGTCGTCGGGGATGAGCCTAAACCAATAGCTCATTCCCTTCCTGAAACACAAAGGTTGCAACCCGAGGTTGCAATGTGTGGCTGTGTTTGTTAGCACCTCCTGAGTCTCTAAAGGAGGAAGCGTTCAAGTGCGTGTCCTTTAAGTGAGCGTAAGCCTAAGACGGGAGGGAACGGCTTCGTCGCCAGGCTTCTGTTCCGGATCTGCACCAGTGTTCATAGCTGCACCACATTAAGGTTCCTCCTTTGTTTCTCTACCGAGATTGGGCTCAGTGGTCTTCCCGGCCAGGGCAAAGGCGATTTTCCTAAGAAATTAGCTAGGTGGGAGGCCAGGGAGCCGGGAGGAGCGTTTGTATCAACTTCGGAGACGCAGGGTTTGCAAGCCCTCTGTGATCTCTTAGGGAAGACAACCTGGCCCCTTTGGTCTTACAGACTCATCTGGGTTTCAGAGTGGGTCCGTCTCCATCTCGACTCTCAAAACTGCCCTGTTGATGTAACTAGGGACTGTTCTCCCCGTTAAACAGAAAATTTAGTCTCGGAGAGATCAGGTGGCTCGAGGTCCGTTGTAAGTAAGTAACAGAGCAGCTGAACCAAGCTCCTGGTCATCACCCTCCCTCTGGTCAACCAGTGGGGCGGCCACCCTTGGTGTGGGGGTGGGCGGAGGCATGTCTTTGCCCTTGTGATTGGTTCTTACTGTTGAAGTTAAAACTTCAGCAAGTATTTCATTGACTCCTTGTGCCCCAGCCCGTCTCCTAATATCTATCTCTATCCGGTGTCCCTGGGTTTTTTCCCTGGTAAAGATCAAAAGATATTTTTCCCTACAAGGCACAGGCCACGTGGCCCCGGATGGTGTCCCTGCTGGTGTTCACTTCTCTGAATCCTTGTGTAGCTTTTAGAGAATACACCCTAATGACCTGCCTCTTCCTCAGTGGAGTCCATCTGAGATGATAAAGTGGACAGCAGTTGGCAGTTTGAGACTAAAAAAATAGTGTTTTTAGTTTGTAGAGCACTGCTGCTGCCTACTTCTCTTTTGACTCGAATGTGCCAATGTAACTTCCTTAAAGGATCTGTGCATTTATTGTAACTTAGAAGCTATACACTGTAAGTGAAAAAGTCTCTTGTTTCAATATTTTCCCATCACAGGTGTAAAGAATGGCTTGATTAATTGGGCCTTCGTCTTAAAATGAAGCCTTTTCCACTACATGGGATTATTTTATTTTCTTCCCGAAACTAATTAGCGTGGGGTAATTACTCTGCTTCACAAATAGGCAATAAAGAATTAAATTTAGCTCTTCTAATTGGGAGCAGAAAAGAAAAGCGAACCATTGCAACCGAGACTGAAAATGCCTGTAGAAGCAGGTGGCTTCCTGTCAATTTCTGGTTTGGAATTTGCCCTTGCCGCCTCAGGCGTGGACAGGGCGTTAGGTGGGTGGTGTCTGAGAACCTGGTGCTGGAGGAAGGTTCTGGGTCAGCTGCAGGGAGAGACTAATGCTTAAGGGCGCCGTGGAAAGGTTAGTCATTATCCTTCCCGTGACCTGCAGTGTGCCGGTCTCTGTGATTCTCGCCCGTGTGGACAGACCTCGTTGCCCTTGTGAGTTTTCACCTGCTCGCCGCCACCCCTCCCCCACCCGTTAGGGCTGCTGCTTGCTTCTACCTGTCAACCCCCTCTTTTGACAGACCCAAGCAGCTGATAAAGCAGAACCCTCCCAGAGGCAGGTTAAAGCAGGTGGGGCATGCACACTACTCAAGGGCAGTCCTGAAGACCTCAGCCAAAGACCCCCTCCTGGGCTGCCCAGGGGTCTAGGTCCTCAAGAAAGAAACTGCCCTTTGGATGAGGAATTGCAGGCCTGACCACGTCAGCAGCAGCCGGGGACTCAGGGAATAACGGACTCCATGCAAGTGCCGGGAATCCAGGAAGAATGAGGGTGGCTCCTTGCCGACACCCTTCCGTCCCCTTGGCGTTCCTCCTACCTGAGTCCTGGGGCGCTCCCTCTCCTTAAGGTAGGGGCGGACAGAGGTGAGATGGGCCGGGAGGATCAGCCCGGTACCCCTGCTCCGGGGAAAAGTAGGAGAGAAACCCCGCACCAGCAGCTGAAGCTGTTTCCATGCCCTGCCCTCCCTCCCCAGGCGAGATGGGTGTGCTGCCTGCCGCGTTTGGGGATGTTCCCCTGGGGGTCCGCGGGAGGGAAGCAGCGTGGGCTGGTGCTCCTCGGTGGGCTTGGTGTTCTGACGGGGCCGTGGCCCTGACACTGAGTGGACACTTCCGGAGCGGGTAGGCCGTTTGCTGCCACGCCCCTCTTTCCTGGCTCTGCAGGCCATATTCCTCGCTGCCTGGAGAAGATGGTTGTACTGTTATGGACAGGCTCTCAGCCAGTGCTGTTGCTTGAATAAACAAGGAACTTGTCTGAGGGTGAACACTTCAGTATACTCTTCCCATGTGCAGTGATTTAAACATTCCTGGGTCTGTCTAATGCCCTCTGAATGATTATGTCTTTTTCCCCTTGGGGCAGTTAGCAGGTATGTCCGGGGCACCCGAGATGGTTCATGTCTTGGCAGCTTTGTTGCCACATCGTGCCCATAGAAACTTCCAGAAATTTCTGAAAATGCTCTCTAGGCAGCTCTTAGGTGGCAGGAAATCTGTCATCTGCCCACACCACCCAAAGTGCTGCTTCCCTGACCCCTGTTCTCTCTATGTGAATTTCCCCGAGGGTCTGGACACCCCTGTCCCGCGCACTCCCCCCGGGTGTGGACACCTACTCTGGCTTTTCTAGTCTCTGCAGCTGATCATGTGAGCCTCTCAAGCATGAAGGCTCCCTCCGGGCCTTCTCAAAGCATAGAGAAAGGGGGCCCCTCTGGCACTGGGTGAATCTTCCCCACTGCATCAGTCATGTTAGTGGTGGAACAAGAAGATCTCCCCGTGACCCATCCCCCAAGGCAGACAACACAGGTGGGACACAAATTCTGCTTTGTTCCTCACTTTGAGCCCAGCCTTCTGCCAGCCTGACTCATCAGGGTTGCCGTGCTGTAGAAAACAACCCCCCACAGGGCACAGGGGTACAGATTTTTTTTTTAAAGACATTTAGGCTATTGTATTTGCTCCTCAATAGGGAATACCTAACTGGGATGGTGGTTACGTGTCAGGCCGTCACCCAAACCTAGTAGCCAACGGGAAACTGTCCTCACTGTCACAGTGTGGCCCAACCTCGGGGAAATGGGTGTCTGCGTAAAATTGGGAGAAGAGGTGCTTTTCTCCCATTCTGCACTCTGGGTGGAGCAGATTTTTCCACCACAAGGAAGCCAGCTGGCTGGTATTAGATTTTTTTTTTTTTAATTCTAAGTTTTCAGTGACAAATGGCACCCCGGTTCCATTTGCCTCTGTGAAATCTACACACATGGCCAGGGGCCGGGGGTCCTGCTTTCTGTCACCTTTTATCTTCATGTTTTCAAGGGTTTCCCTCGCCTCTTACAGGCATCCGTGCCCACTGGTCAGGGTCAGGTGCCCTCCACACACTTTGCAGCAGGGGCCGAGAACGCCCTCCCTTCCAGTCTGAGGAAGTGTCTGCGGCCCGAATACCCTGTGCCAGAAGTGGGGGCGAGGGGAGGCAGCTCTGTGAGCTGACAACGCCCACTGTACCCCCGTGAGAGTCCAGCCCTCTGTCGTGTACCTTCTCTGTCTATTCGATCTCTGGGTCTGGGATCGGCTGCTCCTTGGTTAAAAACCTGATGACAAGTATGGGCACAATCCACTGTTGCCAGAATTTAAACAGTTGCTTTTTATGTAGCATGTTGGTCAGGACTATTCCATGGTCAAGGCCAGTAACACCCCTTAGTCCTGGAGAAAATATGTACCCTCCCTACCCCGCCACTGGAAAATAATTTTTTTAAGCTATCGAGAGAAAGTGTGTGCAGTTTTGGGTTTCCGGTTGCGTGGCCTCTCTGATCAGCCCTTGCACGATCTCAGAAGGTCTCAGATGACAGCTCTGTCTCTGCTCCCACTCCAGAATTCCCAAGATAGGAATTCCCGGTTATCCAGACGGCCAGTGTCCTTTCAACAGAAAGAGCAAGGCTTTTCCTAACACCCAAAATGATGAGGGTGTGAGCAAGGTGGCTCTGGTTTTCCAAATCAAATATTCCAGTGGGTTGTTTTTTTTTTTTTTTTCCTGCCCACTGGGGCATCCCTGTCTGCACACCTCCAGAGGCACCCTTCGGAGCTGAAAAACACTTCCTGCAGTTTCCTCCATTTGGCTTAGATCAAGCATATTTGGGGGCACCCAGCAGACAAGCTGTGGCTGAGCTTCTGTGGCCAGCTCTTGGAGACCTTGTTCAGGGGGCTGTTAGTCTGGGAGGCCGGATGTCCAGTTCAGAGCGCAGTGCCTTCTGCCTGGGTCTCTTAGTCGCTGGGCGAACACAAAGAGAGCTTTGATTACCTAGAGGGCAAAAAGGGCTGCCGGCCAGATGGGGCCAGGCCTGGGGACAGAGGCACAAGCTGCCAAGGAAAGGGTCAAGCAAGGAGAGGGCAGGCACATCCCAGATGCCCAGGACGTAGGCTGGACATCGTTTCTGCAGAGCCTTGGGGTTTTCCTGGAGGCTGGCCAAGACCTGCCAAGCAGCAGGTAGATAGAATCAGGGGCCTCCCGTGTCCAGACAGAACTCCCTTAAAAAAAAAGACCAAAGCCAAGAACTTCTGGGACTGTCCCACACCACGCGAGTCCCCCACAAAAACATTTCTGGCATGCTGGGCTGAGCGCCCGCCATCTTTGTTCATTCTAACAGGCAAAGCAGG